CAAATCAGAAACCTATAAAATATACGGACTATACGAACATGATTGAAGAGAAACCCTGGAGTGAAGAATGTTCAAATAGAACTTTTTATCAACATATTTAACTCTGTCCTCTTCATCTTTTGTTTCAATACTGCTTCTGATGATTTCTTGGTCGACCATCATTTCATTTCCCCACACTTTATCGATATTGTTCATTTCATTGGATATAAAATTAGAATTTTCTTGTTTTCGCCTTTGTCTTGCTTTATAGGTGCGAAAATTGCGCAACAATTGTTGTCCATACTTTAAGCTTTTTAAAGGCATCCATTGCCATGGTTTATCACGTTCTACAGTATGATTGAATTAATAAGAGCGCAAGAAATAACAATATGTCATTACTCAAGTTTATTTTTAAAATATTTATACAATAATTAAAAAAATAACTTACTGTTGAATGATACAAGAACATTCAATTGACCTTTGAAGTGCTTTTCATTACGAATACAAGTCGGATATATGGCATCTTCTCTGTAATTTTCTAAATTTCATGTAACGATACCAACTATATATTTATTTATCAAACATGCATGTAATACCTTCGCTTTTTATTGTATATCTCATATGGGAAATTTTCGTCATTATCATCAACCATCGTCTCTTTGATTTTTTTACTTAATTCTTGTGTGAATTCTGTAGTTATATATATATTTTAAAAAAAAATAAACTTTTGAATAACAATAAACACAATATATATATAATTTTTTTTTTTTATAGACTTGTCAAATGTCATTGAATTATTTTTGCGCGTCAACCGAGGATTTATTTATATAAAGTCATTATTTTTTTGTAGAGTTAAATTTTTTTACCAAGTACGTCATAGTTGTCTCATTATACCCTATTGATGTAATTATTGCACAGTAATTAAAATTTTCGCTCTGTTTAAAAAAATTATTTTTCATACTCATATCAGATATTGATAAACAAAAGGACCCAAGTAAAAAAAAATAAAAATCATAACCATCGCCAGCATCAAACTAAAGGCAAAATTTCTATCATACTCAAAGTTTACCAATAAAAATCGAGAATTGCTATACTGCAATACTATATTCTATTATGGTATACATCGACAAACCTCATTGGCTAGTTTCGAAGATCAATTTGTGGACCTATGCGTGATTATTAACACATAATTTACAATTCGTAATTACAACTAGCTCTCAGACCCGGGCGTTGCTCCGGGGGCTCGGTTTCAATTTTTTTTTAATTTTTAAATATTTGTTAATTTTCATTATTTAAATTATATAATTTTTTAAAAATATAATTTAGCCTTTAAGTTTTCTTAATATTAGTTCTTTAGATTTAGCTTTTAGACCTGGGTGTTATTCTAAATACGTAATTTCAATTTTTTTAATTTTTAAGTTTTAAATATTTAAGTTTTTAGATTTTGTAATATATGTTTTTAATATATAGTGTTATATATTTGTTTTTAAGTTTTGAATAATAGTTTATTAATTTATTAATTTATTAATTCTCAGACCCAGACATTGCTTCAGAGCTTGGTTTTAATTTTTTAGTTTTAAAATTTATTAATTTTAAGTTTAAACAATATTTTAGTAGAATAGTTTAATTTTTTTGTTTTTTAAAATTTAGTTATTAGTTCTTTAGATGATGTTTGGGTTTAGTTTTAATTTTTATAATTTTAAATTTATATTAAAATAATAGTCTTAAAGTTTTAATTTGTAGTATTTTTTTTACTTTTTTTACTTCAGCAATCCTACTTTTATTTTATATATCAGCAGTAAATTATTACAAGAATTCGGTTGGCTAGACCTACCATCTAGTTCTAAAGTACTATTTGCTTGTACAAATAAAAATTCTCTCAATCACTCATTATTGCAGTGGAAATCACAGTTGAAGCTAAGATTTCTATGCTAGAGTATTGACCCAGGAGCGACCCGCCTAAGTGAACAATTTTTCTTCTTCTGGGATCCCCGATTTCCTGAGAATATAACTTCCAGATATCAACAGATGGTTTTCACCGACCTTGTCAGAATCACTGCCCTACAATAGAGTGTCGCCAATCTGATGACACTTTCTCGTAGAGAAGTAAAAAAGAAAAAAAAATTGGGTACGGGAAAAATGAAAAAGGGGTAAAATATAAACAAAAGAACAAAGAAAATGCCCAAAATATAAAGAAGTCTAAATACTATCCTAAAATCTATAAGAACTTATCTTCAGATATAAAATCTGCTAACCAGGTAAAAACTATCTACATGGTCGTAGAAATCTATATATAGAGCTATCTGATAAAAAGAAATATAAACTCATACTAAAATGCACTTTAACCTGTGCTAAGGGCTAAAAATTCTATGTATATAACTTCGGAATAAGCATATCTCTAAATTATCACTCTAGTTCACACCTCTCTTTTAAATCTATCTCGAATCCTAGAACATCCGATTTTCAAGCCTCAATCACGTGATCATCAATTTTAAAGTCTTCTTCACTTTAAGCTGACCCTGATTACGAATGGTTCTGCCACTTATAGTTTTTCATTTCAAACATGCTTCTCCATATTCCAGGTTAACAGGATTGGTTCTTTCAATCACCGTCTTTAGAAACTACTTTCTCGGTACATCCTGAATAGGGGGCTACCTGATAGCCATGTCTGATCCAAATATGGTACGTGCCATTTATCTCCCTTCGATCCAGAAATCTATTAGAACTTCCTTCTTACACATGATTTGTTTTGTTCCCCAATCATTATATCAAAACTCATGACTTGCCAAAAATAGAAATAGTAAACAATGCTGATCTTTTAGAGGGTAAGCCAAATCCCCACTTTTTGTTAAAAATTATGAAAAAAAAAAAAATGGCAAAAGAGTAATCGTAGTTTTGCAAGTTTCTAACTAGAGAGTATTCTTCTAAGAGTTCTTCATAGCCTTCTGTCTCCAAACAAACTTGAGTTTACTTTCTACTTACTGTTTCCAGAGACTTCTCTGGTTTGGATGCCGAATGCAAAAAGGAGTCCACCAAAAAGAAGAAAGGCTTGACCCCTTTGCAAATCATCCAAAACGCCCACTCCTCGGTATATCATATTTAAAACTTTGTTGACAACAGTTCGTATTAAGTAAACTTCAAGTTGTTGTTAACTTCTGGTCTTGAGTCTTCTACTTGCTTTTGGTAAAAA